CATCATTGCTCCATTATCTATCTTACTGATAGGTCGAAGAATGTGCGCATTTTATATATTTAATAGTGTATTTTTATATGTTTAATTTATTTACACGTTTATATTTTTTTACTTATTTATTAATTAGATCACTACAAAAAAAAATAGAATATTCCAACAGAAAATCTTACGGTAATATATTTCAATGAAAATCCCAACAAATATTCCAATGGTAGAGTTTATGTTGGAGTTATTTCAACGAAAATTCCAACGGAATTATTCAGTTGGAATGAGTTTTCCATTGAAAATTAGATGGAATTTTATCATTCCAACGGCCATTATTCCAACGGTTTTTTACCGTTGGAATATACAATTTCTGTCGGAATTTCTATTTTTCACCTATATTTCAACTGTTGGAAAATGTATTATTGGAATCGTCAAAATCCAACGAAAATTTCAATAGAAAACTCATTCCAACGGAATATTTTTGTTAGAATTTTCGTTGTAATCCATTGGAAAATTTCAACGAAAATAATAACATTAGAAATATCAATTGAAATTTCCGTTGGAATTCTATTGGAATATATTTCCGTTTGAATTATCCATTGGAATTTCATCACATTCTTATAGTGGATGGATTCATCTGCCTTGATTATTTTATATTTATTTTCAGTGCATTGGAGTAATTTGAGGATGCGAAGCATTTAGTGAAAGTTCACGCGATCAATTATCGAGTTAGCCCAAGAATACATAAATTAGGCCCATTATATTTAATGGGCTAGTCATATTTTTCTTAAAGAAAAAAATAAAGAGATAATTACCCCTCAGACGACACCTTTTGTTTTTATTTCCCATAAAAGGAGTAATTGTTTTTAATTCCCCTAATATTGTCTTGGAGATTTTTTATTCCACATTTCATCAAATGAAGACGCACAACTCATCTTATTTCACTCCGTAATTTATTTCTCTTCAATTTTCCTTTCCTCTTTCATTCTCAGATACAATCTTTGATTTCTATTCATTATTTCTCTTCCAAAATCCAAGATCCTCAAACCCTAAACGAGCAACTAAGTAAAGCCGAACACGATCTGCCGCAACGCATCTCCGCGAACAAGGCAGATCTTGGCCGCTTTCCCAGAGGCCTTCAATCAGAATTTTCCGACGGATTTGGTCACCGATCGCACCTCCATCAAAGAACCACTGTTAGAAGTCTATCTCCACCCCCGAGACACAAACAAGTCTGAGATTAGATGCCTCGCGCCTCAGCCGCGCCGCCGTCTGCCGCGTTCGACCCTTGGGGTTTGGATAAGAAACCCATGTGGGTTTATTTGTAGTTTAATTTTGTGTATGAATATTGTATAACAACTTGTGGGTTTATTTGTAGTTCAATTTTGTATATTCTGTTCTGAATGTTGCCATTTCTATGGTTTATATGAATGTTTTTTTTTTTTTCTTGTGGTTTTGTTATTTTTTGATAGGTTTTTGTATACGTTTTTTTTATATATATATTTTTCATAATTATTGGTATATGAATGGTTTTCTATTTGTGGTTCCAAGATTTTTTTGTTTCTTAAAAAATATGAATAATTTTCATTTTGTTTATTTGTGGTAATCATGAAAGATTGCAGCTTCAATTTTGTTTTCTGATGGATATCCGTATGTTTTGATGGATATTCGTCTCCTGGCGGTGTAAATTGTATAATGTTGGACAATTTTGTGATAAAAAGTTGTATCTCGTATTAATGATATTCCTGTAAGTTATATCCGTCTCTGCGTCTTTTAGCCAAAAATAAAAGAAAAAAAATATGGGCTTGGATGAATAACAACATTCACGTACAGAACTTTGATTTCGTTTGGGCTGGAGAGGTTTAATTAATTACTTGGAAAAGAACTATATGACAGGCACATAATATATACATACACGCAGCCACTTTAATTGGAGAAAGAAGTGAGTTTTATTTATTATGTTAGAGTAGATTTTATTTTTAATTTTAGGATATTGAACCCTACGTATTTGACTATGTTTAATTAATTACGGTAATTGCTATTTGGCATCAAATTTTAGTATACTGAGTGTTGTATAATATACATTTGATATTTTAAAACTTTATGATGCTATTCATGAATAATAATAAAACGTATGCAACTGGGCAACAGTAAATACAATTGTCCTTGAGTCTGTCCAAAAGTTTGTACATGGGCAACAGTAAACATTATAGAATTGTACGAATTTATCTCTATCTGCATGCAAGCTGCTTTGCGCACATTTTGATCCATATATTCAATCATGCATCACATGATGTTTTCCATATCTTGCACATTTTTCTATGGTCGCTTTCAATATTTATACTCGATGATTTAATTTATTATTAGCTCTTTAACCAAAAATATGAAACTTAAGATATATCAAATCAAATTGTCCTTTAGCCCAACATTATGGGCCACTCAATATTATGGGCCCGTGACCCATTATGAATTTTGAACATGTAGTGATCCATAGAACAAAATGATTGGGCTCATGAACAATAATTTCACTGTATAGGTAGACTACAATTCATAACTGTCTATAAACATATAATTTACAAAAATGTACAAGCATCATCTCAATTCTCTCACTTAAAATATTAATATTAACTACCTTACATGATATCGAAAAATAAAAAAGTCAAAGCAATTAATCAACCCTTACCAAATAATTGCCCACCAGCAAGTCCCCATCAAAACTGAACATAAATTTCAACCGGAAAAAAAAAAATATGATATATATATATATATATACCCAAAAAAAACCCTTCTCAATTTCAATTCTAACAAAATATATGAGTCTATGTCAACCCCAGAATAGAAATTGTTACCCAGATATCTATTTTTTAGATATGCTGTTGATAGGGAATTATCAACAAATTATCCTACTTCACTTCAATTTTGCATTGAATATCCCTTCACGAATGAACGTAGGACAGATATTTGAATCTTCGCTCGGGTTTGCTGGGGGTTTACTCGACAGATAGAGTGAATAGATCTGCCATTTCTTGAAATCTCTCTTCTGATTCAAAATCGTGGTGTAAGGTGTATCCTCCCCTGTTCCGGTCATGGAATAGATGAAATAAATCCAAAAGTGGATTTTTGTTCAAGAACTTTACAGGTACGAACAATTACAGCTCTGATTACTTCTGATTTTTCTAGGGACATCTTTGGTACTGCTTCTTTGATCACAACAACAATAACGTCACCAATATATATATATATATATATATATATATTTTACTTTTATCAATCACAACTTAACATAAATTTCAACCGAAAAAAAATAGAATTATGCATAACGGAAAAATAATATATTTTACTTTTATCAGCTAAATTAGTATGTGGTCATGCGATGTACGGGGAAACAATATTATGATTGTTTCATAAATTAAATATATAAATAACATTAATTATGATTTACACATTGTTTTCAAAATCGGACTGAACCAGACAGTCCAATCGAATGGACTGAGAGCTGATTTATCGATCTATCCAGTTCGCTTGAATAAAACATTGATCAGTTCGATGACGGTTCGATTCTGAGAATGAATAGTGAATTAGATCAATTGATGTGATGTATAAGAATGATTATTTGGTAATATTTAATTATATTACTAATATATTAAAGATAGTTAAGTTGAATTAAAGTTGAGTTAAGTTTTGATTATGAATTGGATAAATTTATAAACAAACAACGGTTAATGTTTATGTGTTATATATTAAAGATAGTTAAGTTGAGTTAAAGTTGAATTAAATTTTGAACATGAATTGGATAAATTTATAAACAAACAACAGTTAATGTTTATGTGTTAGAACTTAGAGTTGGCTAGCAACGACTAGCCCTAGTTTTAAACGAAGAAAAATAAAGAAAGAAAGAAAAAACAATGACTCATGTTATCTTATAATCATGGGCGCGGATCTACACAGGGGTTCGTAGGGGCACGGGACTCTGTAGAATTTTTTAGTAATATAGTATATATATGTTATATGTATAAATGTATTATTATATTGACATAAAAAATACATGTTATTAATTATTATGCAAACTTTTCAATATAAAAAAAATAAAAATGAAATATTTAGAATTATTTAACCTTCAATAGTCTATTATTTTCTAAGTTGTGGAAATTATACTTATGTTATCCTCAACTTCTTGTTTATTTTCTTTTTCCTCCCAAAATACATAAAAGATAAATATTATGTATAAATGTATATACTATATAGGGATTTGGTGTTAGACTCAATCATAACTATTAAATAAGAAATAAGGTGTCTGGTCAAGATTTAATCTTTTTTTTAATTGATTAAATATTGATTAATCGTTGACCTCCGTCGTTGACCGTAGTTTGTGCCCCCATTGTCTTTAAAGTCTCTGTCCGCCCTTGTGATCTCACTTTCTTTCATCTTCTTCTCTCTCGCACTTAGTTCTTTTATTTGGCCTCCTCCCCTAAACTTGTCTGCCTGTCTTTGTCTTCTTGAAGAAAATGGTACGTGCTTTGTAATCTGTCTCAACAATCTTGCATTTATATTTACGTATAATAACTATCGATTAAACTGCTTATGCTTGTTTAATTTTTTTATCGGTTCGAATCCATTAAGTTTTGGAAAACTATGGAAGTTAGTATCTATATATATTGAAAAAGAGAGGTCAATAAATCCTTTTGGGAAAGTTTTAAAAAAATCAAAGTCAACCTTATTGACTTACCCATTTTGGCAACCTTTAGAACATGCAATTCGAATTTGTGATATAGATTGACTTCAACAAATTATGGCGTTTTTTTAGGTTCAAGCGTATCAAAATCTCCTTATTTATCTGCATTAGTTATGAAACCGCGTTTAAAAAGGTTAACAGATTCTTATCTTTTAGTTATATACTAACAATATCATCCTACAATTTCGATAGAGATAATCATTGATACCTTTTTTATTCAACGACAAAATCACGCCATTTGGAAACCTCAAATCCTTCCTTTTTCCCAACAAATATCCATTCAATGGCGCTTTTAGTTCCGTCACCAGGGATTTCATCTCTCGCCGGCGCCGAAAGTCCGGCCAGAATCTGTCTCCGTACCGGGAAAAGAAGATATAGGTTTAGGGTTTGCTTGGGCCTTAGGGATGTGGATAGGGAGGTGTTCAAATTGAGGGTCGATTGTGATAACTACGAGGATACTGTGAGTGGTGGCTGTACGAGCAAGTGAAGCAGAGCGAGATCGAGACGGCGTCGTTTTCTGCCGTTAAGAGGAAGGACGAAGAAGGGAAGAAGCACGATTATTACGTGAATACTGGGTATGCGTTTCGGACCCTCCGAGAGGAGTTTCCAGAGCTTTTCTACAGAGAGCTCAGCTTTGATATCTACAGGTAGAATTTTCTGTTCAGTATAATTAAATGTCAAATTCTGTGCGTTTGAGTTTATCTGATTGGATTGTGTCCATTTCATAGAGGGAACTGATGAGGTAAGAACTAAGAAGATGTATTGTAGTTTTCAAGGGAAGCTAAAATTGAGTTGTTTAGATTTAGAAGATGGTACTTGATGGAAGTGCTAATTTATTTGAAAACACAAATTTGTATCATGTCATATGAATATTGGAAAACATTTGGAGCAGCTTCTGCTGGATATTGATACTGATTAACTTACACACGATCAAAAAATAGGTTGGAACTTAAAAAAATACTATTTTTTCAGCTGGCAATCATCCTTTTTTTAAGTGATTAAAGTAGATTATTTATGGGTTTGGCATAAATTTGGAGTGCAGCTTTACTTACAGGAATTGTTGATGAAATGTACTAAGTTTGGAATGATAGATCGTGAGCCCTTATATTATGGTTCGCTTGAAATTTTAGTGCTAATACAGCTCATGAATTATGAATCTTGATCTGTAGTTTGGGTGACAATCATGAATCACTGATGGGAATAATGAAGAGGAGACCAGGTTCATATAAATTATGCTTAGTGGCACTCTTTGTTTAAAACATGGAAACTTAGGTTCAGTTGTTGTACTGATAGCATTTGACAGTAATAAAGACCTTAATCCATCATAACCTCCATATCTCATATCAACATAGAAATGAAATAATTTCCTGCAGTTGTTAATTGCCATTGTGTATGTTGAAATAAAACGGTTAATGTACAATTCGACTAGCATTCACGTGGGTAGCATTTGAATGCGGAATCACCCGAAAGCACGGCAAGTCTCATATTATTGCTGAAGGTCCGTGAAAACATCCTTTCACTGCAATTCAATTTATATTTTAATGGTAATATTTAGTTCATTGTCAATTCTTGAGTGAATAAGGTCTATCTATGGTTGTGGGTGAATGAATCCTTGGAGAAGTGTTTACTGGTACGAAACACATTTTTTTTTTTTAATTCTTTCTCTTGTCAGCTATAAAGAAAATGCTTCAACTCTTTCATATTTGTTCTCTCTTGAACAGGGATGATGTAATCTTTAAGGATCCACACAACACATTTTCTGGAATCCAGAACTATAAATCAATCTTCTGGGCATTGAGATTTCACGGGAAGATATTTCCGGGGTCTTTGGGTTGACATTGTTAGCGTGTGGCAACCCGTAGAGAACATGATAATGGTCTGTTGGACCGTGCATGGAATCTTGCGTATCCCATGGGAGAGCCGTAGCAGATTTGACGGTACCTCAGAGTACAAGCTCGACAGGGATGGAAAAATATATGAGCACAAGGTTCACAATATTGCCCTCAACGGGCCCCATAAGTATCTACTGCAGGCTGTCGACCAATTGATCCAGTCGATAGGGTGCCCTTCTACTCCAAAGCCTACTTATTTCGAGTTTTCCTATCTTTGGTGACTTATGCTCCTTTGGTGAATTTATCATCTGCTCTTTAATGCTTTTTATAGCTTCTTTTGAGACGAGATTTATGAGCTCTGAGGGGGAATCACAATGAAGTGCGCAGGATTTCTTGGTGGTGTTTGAAGCATTGGTTAGTGTTGCCGGTAAGATTGCCTTCTCGAGTTTTGAAATTTGTGGAATTATATACGGTGTTTTATAGCAACTGTTGCCTGTGCTGTATATAGTTTGTATATTCTCAACTGAGTAATTCTATAGTGGTCCTCAGTTTGTTTTGAGTTATTTGTGTAGGAAGCACAGTGTGCTAGCATAAATGAATGTTTTCTGTAAGAAGTGATCTTATCACAGTATTTTCAAACCAAAGCTGCACATTTTACACGAGACAAAAATATTTTTTTTTCCCCTTTCTGCAATCCGGTGTGCCATATAAGCATTATAACACGATCCTCATTAGAATTTTCAGATTATTATACATTCAAATAATGCCTCTCCCTCTGAGAAGTTAATGTTTATGGTAAGTGAAGTTAATCACAAATATTTTGATTTGTTTTACGTTGTACCCATCATTCATTTACATGATCACAACACTATAGTTTTAAGTTCATCAAAACCACAATCTATATATATTGAAAAAGAGAGGTCAATAAATCCTTTTGGGAAAGTTTTAAAAAAATCAAAGTCAACCTTATTGACTTACCCATTTTGGCAACCTTTAGAACATGCAATTCGAATTTGTGATACAATGATGCCAGACGCTATAATCTACCCGCAAGCTTTGAAGTTGCTACCTTGATTGTCGGAGATTTCAACCAATGTTTGAGTGACAAAGATATATTGGTTGACACTAAGAGTGGTCGTCTTCAACGGATAAATGAACTTAATGCTTCATATCCGGCATTACATTATCCATTATTGTTGTCTTATGGAGAAGATGGGTATAGGAAAGACATACCGTTTTCTGATCTAATAATGTTGTATACAAAGAAGTTTTTAATAATGTATGACTTAGTACCAATGAAGAATTTATGCTTACTTTATGAATGCCCTACGTATTATAAATTATTGATTAATGACCTTCATTTTATTAAATTTTTCTAAAATATGTACAGTCCGTGCATCGCACGGGTTACGTACTAGTTACATATCTAAAAGACAATAGACGTTGTATAATCATGGTAAAGGAAAATGGGGGAAGGAATAAAATTATGGATTTTATGGGTTAGCTCTCGTGTTCTGAATCTGCACAAATATTGTAGAGGCTCTGCAGTTTTGATTCTCTATCCATCTTTTGCATTGGAGAATGTTGGTGCTTGCATTTGAATTACTTTCCTTGTTAATTAGTTGGAAAGTTGTATTTAATTTTCAATTTTTATTAATATTAATGCTTCGGAAGTATATAAGCTATGTGATATTAATGCTTCAATTTTTTCAAGTTTATTGTTGTTCTTCTTTCTTCAAAACAGTCATGTGATATAAGCTATGTTACTGATGGTATATTGGACTATGAAGTATATTATGCTAGATTACTGATTTTCTTTTTATTAGACGCTTCTATCTATTTGCTATGTATTTCAACAATGATTTATAAGTGAATATTGAACGATTATGTTCGAAGCTAGTCCCTTTCATTCCCTATTTATTGGTAGGGATGGCAAAGAGACATGGACCCGACCCAACTCAGTCTGATCTGGAATATTTGGGGCATGTTAAATTTGCCCTGTTTTTTAAAACGGGCCAGGCCAAATCTAATCCGTAAATTAAACGGGCCAAGTCCATGTTCGGGTCCTATATCAAGGCCCGCCGCGCCCCCACCTAATTTTTTTTTAATGTAAATTATATATAATATATATAGTAAATTAAGATTAGGGAATTAGGGTTTAGGTTTACAATTTTTATATTTGGCACAGCCGTTTGTAATGGGTAGCTGTATTTTTGTATTTTTATATGATAATTTTTCCGTAATTTTAGAAGGGAAAATAGAGAAAACGTGAAGAAGATGAAACGCGGGTCTAAAGAGAGAAAGAGATTGAGAAGAGAGAGAAATTAGTTAGGGAAATGATATTTTTCATACCTTTCTCTCATAATTCCGGATTACAAAGAGTTCTTGTTAATCGGGCTTAAGACTCTCATAACTTACAAAGCCCATTACCTGAGTTTCTATTACAATGCGGCCCAAACATAAAAATAAGACTAAAGCTCAAACATTGGCATAGCCCAGCTAAAATAAAACCCAACTAAAATAAATAAAACAACCAAATAGCTCAATTCCCATTTCCGACTTCTGAAGTCTGATCTCCAACCCTAAGTATCGACCTGTTCCTCTCTCGCCCCAAACACGGTAATTTCACGGCCATCTTCCTCGCCGTTCATCACAACGTTCCTCACCTCACTCTGTCTCTCACTCTCAGTCTCTCTCTCACGCCCGCCATCTGTTGCCTCTCTTCTCACGCCGACGGCCCGTCGCCTCTATTCTCCTGTGACCCCGTCGCCTCTCCTCAGTCCTCAGTTCTCACGCACGTTGCACTCTCGGCGTGTCGGTGCACTTTCAGATTTAATGGTAATTTCCCAACTGTTTTTTGAATCGGACAGATGGCTAAAGATATCAACTATAGTAGTGGGATTATCTTCATTTTCCACCATTTCATAGTAATTAGATCGAATCTTTTTTTTTTTGTTTTCCTGAGGGACGGGTATATATTCTTTGTTCGATAGGATTTCCTTGTCGTTTTTACTTTGGAATTGGAGGTGTGCTGATGGAGGGAAAACAATATTCATGGCCTCGGATAATTCATCTTTTGAATGGCGAGATCCTATTTATTTATTATGTCTTATGGACGTTCTACTGTTTTAATTTGGATGTGTTTGATTGATATTCCATTTCTTGAGTTGTTAACTGAGGGAGGAAGAGGTAATATGAAATTAGTTACACAAATAAATTTTGTAATTTTGGAACACAAATCTTCATTTATTTTGACACAGATTACATGAAACCTCGAGGCAGGAGGGTACACGTACATAATTATCCCTTTATCCCTTTACTTAGTATCTTCTAGCATTTTTATCTTCTGCAGTTACCTGGCCCGACCTGGCCCATTGCCATCCCTACTTGTTGGACTGTTCCTGAGCTTTTTTCTTTGCGATAATGCATTTACAGCACATATTAATTTATGTTTCTGTTGGTTGCAGGCAACCCTCAACGACTCCTTTTTGGCTGATCTTGATGAATTGTCTGATATTGAAGAAGAACATCTGGTTCGTACGTTACAGTTTACAGTTTCTTCCCAAGTCATTTTTTATTTTCTTGTTCACTTGCACTTAAATAAAACTTTGGTCTGTAATGATTTAGATCCGCACCAGTTTCATGTTTTACCTAAATTTCATATTCATATATGCTTGCCATGTCTGTTTGTTTTCTTTGTCACTATATGGCATGTTGGCCATGGTTGACCACATTACTTCTCTTTCAGGAAGGAGAGGATGATGATGCCGAGCACATGGAGGATGATGTGGATGGCAATTTGGCCGACATTGAAGCACTTAATTATGATGATCTCGACAGTGTCTCCAAGTTACAGAAAACTCAACGATACACCAACATAATGCAGGTTGGTTGAGTACAAAAACTCTTCATATTATGCCTCATCTCATTTCAATAGTTAAATTTCATAATGCCTGTTGATGTTTGCCATCAACTCCTAGGGTTAATTTACTGTTGCATGTCCCTTGTGTTATTCAGCTGGTGATTCCTTTCCATAGGTTCATGATACTTTAAGCTCATGAAGCAACAATTCCTCTTGTCCCCCTGTTTATTATTGTGGGGACATAATAATCCCTAAGAGCATGTTTATATACAAAAATTTTTCACGATGTTTTTGGTTAACTAGAGTTAATTTTGAAAAAGATGGTATGGTTAGTTGTTAGTGGGATTTTGGATTTATATTAAAATAATTATTTAAAATAAAATAATTCGATAGATGATATGAAGTGAAGGCTAGTTTTTGAGGATATTGGACTTGAGTTAGATTTTAAGTTGAATGAAAATTTTTGTATACAAACATGTTTGTAAATTTTTTCCATGCAGAGAGTCGAGGAAGCCCTGGAAAAGGGATCCGGCAGCTCGTCTCACGGGACATTTCTAGAAGACGACCCGGAATACCTCCTGATCGTGGACTGCAACGCGCTGATGGTCGACATCGACAACGAGATAGCAATCGTTCACAATTTTGTCAGGGACAAGTATCGCCTCAAGTTCCCGGAGCTCGAATCCCTCGTGCCCCACCCCATCGATTACGCGCGGCTCGTCAAGAAAATTGGGAATGAGATGGACCTTACGCTGGTCGACCTCGAGGGCCTTCTCCCTTCCGCCACCATAATGGTTGTCTCTGTAACTGCCTCGACCACGAGTGGCAAGCCGCTCCAAAAGGACGTCCTCGAGAAGACGATTGATGCGTGTGATCGCGCCCTCTCCCTCGACTCCGCCAAGAAGAAGCTTCTGGATTTCGTGGAGAGCAGGATCGGGTACATCGCGCCCAACCTCTCGGCAGTCGTTGGTGGGGCAGTGGCCGCCAAGCTAATGGGGACGGCCGGCGGGTTAACGTCGCTGGCGAAGATGCCTGCATGCAACGTGCAGCTGCTTGGAGCCAAGAGGAAGAATTTGGCGGGGTTCTCAACGGCCGCCACGTCACAGTTTCGGGTGGGTTTTTTGGACCAGACGGAGATTTTCAACAGCACGCCGGATGCACTGAAAATGCGTGTGTGTCGGCTGCTGGCAGCAAAGTCAACTCTGGCCGCGCGGGTGGACTCGACCAAGGGAGACCCGTCTGGAGGAACTGGGAGGGCTTTTCGGGCGGAGATCCACAAGAAGATTGACAAGTGGCAGGAGCCGCCGCCAGCTAAGCAGCCCAAGCCTCTACCCGTTCCTGACTCGGAGCCGAAGAAGAAGAGGGGGGGTCGGAGGCTGAGGAAGATGAAGGAGAGGTATATAC